AATTGACAACTTTTTGTGAAAGTACATAAGCTGTAACTATAGTATTCTCATTCCAGAAAATGTTTTGTTTCTTTTTTCCATCAGTATATATTGTACAGGATACAATCATGTATACAACTTGAAATCATTTTTGTAGAAATTATTGTGTGTTTAGAGAGTTCATGGTCTTGGATATGTTACTGCAAATGGCTTTTGCATCATAAATAATGTGCTTCATAAAAAGTAGAGAACAGAAACAGTCCGTCTTGCCCAGAAGGGGCTGTTGGTGCATCTTAACAATAAATGAAGACGACGCCACTTTCATTTTAATAGCCTGGCTGTATAGCCTTCAACTTTGTGGTTGTGCAAAATTTTCAAAGTCATAATCAGTCAGTAAAGAACTACACCCATACATCCTTACTAAATCTTCTGTCATTTGTGTCCTCTATTTATATACTCTATTTAAAAGAATGTCCATCAAACTAGTAGTGGAAAAACATATTTCTTTCAATGTCTTGGCTTCAAACAGATTTCCCTCCTCAATTTTTTTGCCATAACAGCTAGTTGCATGGAATGCGGTACTGTCACTGCTTAGACTATTAAATAGTGACAACTTTTTATCATAAAGTATAGTACTTAAGAGATTCAGTGTTACGTGTGATTCTGCCTCTCTTCCTGTTTCACAAGGAATCTACCTAAACCAGCAAAAAAGAGCCCACTGTAAGGAAATTTGTAAGTTTTTGCCTGTCAAAAGATAATTATGGCGTAATATTATACTTGACCCATCACATTTACATTTATTTAGCACAAAGAGCCACATAGCTCTGGAAAATAAATGGCTTACTCAAAGTCTGGACGACAAATTTCAATTAGGGTTCCTCTTCTCACAGAATATGTCAGTAAGGAAATGTAGACAGCGACAGACGTTGCTCATATTATACCAGACTGTCTTCCAGAATTTCTCTGATCTAGTTTCTTTTGACTGTAAAGTGGATAAATGACTTTAGCCTCTGCCAGATGATTAAGTAAGCAATTAGACTAAACTACCCAGAAGATGACGGAGGTCAATACAGTAAACATAACTAGCACAAGTACTCTCTTTCTTTAAGAGTCTAGAGTTTGGAGGGAAGCACCATCAAGGAATCAATCCATGAAGAAAATAAGTCTTAGAAAGACACAGCTGGGAGTTTATATTGGGTTCCTTAAAGGAACATATTGGTATTAATTTTGAATTTCAATGTACTTCTTAAACATCTACAGACTCTCCAGTCACACTCATTTTAGAAGATTTCTTTTTTTACCTCATCAAACTCTTCAGCAAATCCAACAGGGCATGAGATGGCATCAGAGATTTCCTGTGCTACCTCCTGCTGTTCAGTAATGTCTTGCATCAGTGTATCAATCTTATCCAGGTCCCTGGTAGATGCAAAATGCAAAATCTCATTTGTTTTTATTTACTATAAGTTAATCTGCTGAAATAAAATACAGAATGAAAACACACACAAAACGTATTATTGAACCTTTTAGATTTAAAGGAAGACGCCAATGGATTTCTAAAAACATTTTCTTTTTGGGCGTGTCTCCTGCATTGTTTGTTTGTCATGAGTTACTAATCATTGTGGGGACATTTCCTCAGATTTTGTCCCCAGATGGACAGTAAAACACACCTGCCTGTAAGATATTAAGGGTCTGCCACCCTGTGTACTATAGAAGGCTCAACATCAAGAACCTGGTTCTGTAGCACTACAGGTCCAGGATACCGGATCCCCTGTACATGGTGAACACAGGATCTGAATAAGGATGGTCTGACAAGTTATCTTGTATCTGCATTTCTAATAATCAACAAGTGATTGAAATGAAGTACTCAAGGCCCTGGAGTATCTCATTGCCAGGTAAAAATGACCACTATCTTTTCTTAACCTACACGAAATACAAATTTTATTGTTTTAGTTCAATATATTAGTATGCCGGAGGAACAAAAAGTCCCATTAAAGTAACTAAATGATGTTGCATAACTAATGGACAGACATGTTGCAAAGAGTTTGCTATGTGGCAGCAGTTCTTAAGTACCGTAGCCTTGTTTATACAAACCCTTATTTGCTTGGCATGACTGCCGTTGCGATGGTTTTTGTTTTCTTATTTATGTTTCACTTAACTCTTGTTATCAATTACAAAAAAACAATCTCTCAGCTTAATCTAGGGTTTCATTTTTTTATACTGTCACTCTTGCCGTCCTCTGTATATCTTTAACTTACAGTTTCTCATGGACGCCTTTAATGGCTTTGGCAGCATAGCCCATGTTCTTGAGCACCTCAGTGTTGGTGTTGGCATTCTCCAGTGCCTCTCTCTGGAATTCAATGGTGGATAACGTGCCATCGATCTGAGCCAGCTGTTGCTCAAACCGTTTCTTCTTTCTCAGTGCCTGGAGAGCAGCTTTCAGGAAATTAAAACAAAACATCATTTCCAAATGTGAGGGCAGAAAAATACCGCCACTTTGTTGGTCTGTCAGTCGTTATGTGGTCTGAGAAAAATAGCTCACAACTGTTTTTCCCCGAGGTTTGGAGCCCGTACATACAAGGTTTTTCAAGACCAAACTCAGGCATGAATATATTCTCCAACCTTTTTTAACTAGACTATGCACGCCGATAAAACAGCTTTGACAAATGGTGAACCTTGAGGTAAATCAATGAATGGCTTATGAGACTACAGAATTTAAGAATAAAGGCATAAAGGCTATGTATGAATTAAAATACTGTAACCCTTTTCAGTAAAATAAGTAAACAACTTCAAGCCACCAGTAAAAAGAAAAGTCACACAGAAATCAGAGTTTTTGTTTATTTTTTTTTCTCTCAAAAGTTCAGGTTTTTTTAAGCCAAACAATAACAACAGATAATAAATAAAATTAATTCCTAGTCAATAAGATGATAGTGTGTTACATACTGTACTTCCTAAATGAATACCGAATTAATTAGCATACAGTGTTTTATTTTAGAGTAATGTCTATGTAGAAATATCTTGACTAAACAGCTAACTATCTGGGCGAGTTCCAGGAACAAAATGACACAACAGGTAGACACCCTCCCCCACAAACAATAGTGTAACATCTACCTCAATATTACAATATCACATTTTACGTATTAACTTTGGCCAGCACAGTATTCATGGGAGCGGTTAATTTATAGGTCACTCAACTGCTTACAAATCAGGAGGCAAAGGTAAAATTTACATCCAGTTAGCATGGCACTAAAAAACAAGGTCTCAACCAACTGGTTGCTGTACAGTTGGCTAATATGCTGCTACAAATGAGACAACTGGCAGGTTTAAAACAGTACTAGGAAGAGGGGGTGGGAGTTCCCTGAGGAAATGAACAACACGACTTTTCACGGACTACATACAACAAGTTAGAAGGTTAATATATAATACATAAAAAGTAATAAATTACCAACCATTAATTGTTTTATATAGTTATCAGCTGAGATAGGCAGTTCTTCAATGAGCCAAGATGATTTCAATACTTCAAAGGTGGAAATCAGTCTTGTTTGAGGACAAAGGGGAGTGATAAGCCACATATCTTACCACCACAGAAAGAAGTGGGTCAGAGATGCTGTATAAATTAATGACCATCAGCTGCTTTTATAACCAAACCCTGACTGATAAGAAATTGTTTACAAAAGCCAAGCGCCCTCAAATATGATTTTTTTCTCTCAACAGAAATAGAATTTATTGACCTCCAGGATTAAGATGTTATTTTTTTCTTTGTCCAAGTAATGCCCTTTCTACAGATTTGATATTTCCAGGCAATTCGTTTGGAAAAAATGTCCCCTTTTCAATACAAATGCTACATTTGAAAAATGTTTCTCATAACAGCCTAAATATCAGTGTACAATGCCACCATCTGCACTAATTATTTGTACATGTACACTGACATCATATGGTGGGAGTCCTGTATCAGTTTTCTTGTTGCTCCATGAGATAATTTTGAAAGAAGTCCACATTTATGTAGAGTCACCGTGGTCTTACATTTTCTCAATTTGTAGACTATGGGTCTAAGAGTAGACTGATGAAGTCCAAAACATTTTGTTATGGTTTTATAACCCTCTCCACACCGATGAGTGCTTGCAACCCAAGGTTGTCTGAGGTCTCTTGAGATTGTAACACATCACACTAACCTGTATAGGTAAGACAAAAATTGACTAGGTTTCTCACCTTTATATAATAGAGGGGCTCCAAAACTTTGTCCTGGTGATTGGCACTTTGATTGGTTGATTTGTTACCCAATTATTTTAGGATTTGTGGATATAAACCATTTCTTTTAAGGACTAGCTTTGACTTAACAAGGATTTCATAGTGAAAATGTAACATTTAAAGAACAACAATACTTTCAAGCAGCACTGATATCTATTTCTCTAGATTTCCTACCGCACGTGTTTGTATGCTCATGTATACAAAGCCTTTTATTCACAACTGTTCATTCTTGTGTTTAAACTGATAATATCCGGGCAAAGTGTAATTCATACCGGAGAAAACAGATGCTGTCACTCTTAAGAAAAGAGGAAAATAGGAGAAAAAGAGAAATAAGAAAATGCATTATGGCAAAAAGTAGATCAATTTCCTTCTGACCAGAGAAAGATAGATGAGACTGTGGCTGCTGACACAGTGAAAAATGGACGTCGTTTTCTAGATTTCTTTTAATAAAAGAGTAAAACGAAGAGGTGGAACTTACACTGTCCCAGATTTGAGATGAAGACTAGAAAGACAGAAATTGCTCTTGGTCCCAATGAATGAAAGCCGAGCAGAGCCGAGAAAGGAAGGCAAGTCTGTCCAGAAACAACCAAGGGAAAGATAATTTTTACAAAGCATTTAACTCAAACATGAAGGCATGCTAAAGCCATCTAGATTGGAATTCTCTTCCTGCAATGGATTTAAGATTAGCAGCAGAACAGTCGATTCATCTTTGTTTTTGGAATATTAAAAACAGTAGAACTATTATACTGTTTATTGTATACATCCCAAAATAAAAATCCTGTCCTGACACATATGACATTAAGTGTACCTTATGCCAGAACACATATCAAAGCCAAAATGCTTGCGTTTGAAAACAAAGAAAACACAGTGGTGTGGGTTCTAATTTGAAAATAAATCATTAATGCACAAACATTACTACCTGGATTTCCTTCAAAAACAAAAACTCTGAAACAAAACACATCAACCAGTGAGTATAAAGATACAAATGTATTGAAGTGCAATGAAGCAGAATGCAAAATCTCAAAACCTTAGGGTGCTGGTAAACCATCAGGCTGAAATAAAGCTATATACAGTAGAGTGTGTCACATGAATTACACATCATGAAGGAAATGAGAAGGCTCTGTTAAACTGAGCATTTTTACCACATCTTTATTTGTGCTTGACAAATAAGCATGTCATGATCATTTTAAGGTTTTTAAAAAAGCTCATAGTTGTCACATTTACATTATATCACACAGGCAGTGCAGTCGTTTATGCTACCATTTACTTTGTTACTGTTTGAAAAACCACAGGCTAATTCTTCATACACTAAGCATTTGAAAAAGATTAATAATTCTAGGTAGTAGTGAAAATGAAGTAGAGAGTCGGTGTGCAGAACCCTCTAGCGTACTGGGACTGTGAAATCTGAACTATGAAGTCTTATATTCTTTTCTCATGAAAATTAAATAAGGATGGGGCACATAGTTTAACTGTCTTAGAACTCTTGGTTCCTGGGTTAGATTTTGGACTGGGGTATTTTTTATAAAGGCAATTGGGGATTTCTTTCTTGGGTCAATTGATCTTACAATTTGAACATTTGAAGTTAAAATGATTTATTTTGAAAAATTGTTTGGAAATGTTTGAAAAAACACATCGTCAGAAAGGTTTCTCTTGGTCAGATATTTGTTGTTGTGTAGTTAGGCTCATAAACAGCCAATCAGGCTACCTAGTTTTGGTTTCAGTGTTTGGAGTCCGAAGATCTTTCAGTCAAACAAAAGTGGCAATTTCTAAACTAAAATTGAAAGTAAATCAGAAGCATATAGCATATATATGAGGCAAACTGACATCAATTGGTTCATTATAATTTCATTATAGTTTTGGAACAAAGTTTTACAGACAGATAAGACCGAGATAAACTTTCAGGAAAGGTGAGGTTTGGATGGTGTAGAGAGAGAAAGGAACTGCTCACACTCTAAAGAGCTCTGCTTCATTCGCGTAGACTGAGGTGGAGGCCAGGGTAAGCATCCTTCAACGATGGAGGAACTAACGACGGCAGCGGTGAATATTTGATTTTCTGACCTTTCCAGAAAGATTTAGTCTGTTTTTTTTTGGAAGAAAATGTTACACAGAGTCTGTTCAGGCTAAACTATTTGCAAGCACAGCTTCATTCCTTCAGAGTAATATCTGAGTAATTCCCCACATCTTAGGATTCAGATCCGTGTGCCGTCTCAGCAGTTTCAATCCTTTTACACCCGTATCTCATCACCAGAAACTGAAATGCCTAGCATTTCTCTTTGGTATTTCTGACTTGATTTTTTTTTTGTGTTGTTGAGTTTTTGTGTCGTAAAAATGATTTTGATCAATACAAAATGTAATTTATTATTGCTTTATACATTTCAAAACATATAATGGACCTAAAACACCTAATCTGCATCATGTGCATGAATGTGTATTGGCGTAAATTCCAGATTGTAGCTGCAAGCATTTCATACTCCAACCAGCAGCTATATCACCCTGCAACTCATAACTCGCAACCCACTGAAGCTCAGCAGGTGTGAGCCTGGCCAGTTCCCAGATGGGAGACCTTCTGGGGAAAAACTAAGGTTGCTGCTGGAAGAGGTGTTAGTAGGGGACCAGTAGGGGGTGCTCACGCTGCAGTCTGTGTGGGTCCTAATGCCCCAGTGCAGTCATCGCTACAGTATACTGTAAAAAGGCACCATCCTTTATAAAGATGTAAAACCAAGAGTCATTCAGTCATTAAAATCCCAGGGTCTTTCTCATAAAGAGTAGGTGTGTTACCCTGGTGTCCTGACCAAAAATTCCCCTGGCCTTTACCAATCATGGTCTCCTAATAATTCCCCTCTGCTCTCCTCAGTCACTGATAGCTGATGTGTGGTGAGTGTATTGGCACACTATGGCTGCTGTTGCATCCAGATAGGGGCTACACATTGGTGGTGGTGGAGGGGAGTCCCCATTACTTGTAAAGTGCTTTGAATGGAGTGTCCAGAAAAGCGCTAGATAAATGAATTATTATTTTTTTATGATTTTACCAGAGCAGTCTTTTACCTAAGCTGGGATTGCCTTGTGGTAGGGTAAGGTTAAGACATGACATGTCAGCGAGAAGATGGGGTTCTGGTCTATTCTCCTTGGTGTCACACAAATGAACTGCTTGTGAGGATCTCTGTGTGGTAATAATGGTCTAATATTCTGCTCTGCACCAGAAACACAGGTAGGTAAGGAGTCAGGTTCCTGTCTACCAAAATATTTCTCTACCCAGATAACCATCTCTTTAATGTTTAGTGAAAGACCTTCTCACAAGTGTAGTATGACAGCAACCTGATACGATATTTTGTACGTTTCCTATGATGTAGAACTGTATTAGAATAGAGCTGCGTCTTTCCATAACATGATAGAACACAATGGATTTGTGTTAAATGTTCGGTAATAGCTTGGCTTCTACTAAGAACCCCCCCTTTATAATCAGAAAACCAACTATTCCCAAGAAGAGTCAGAGCAGTGTCCCAGCAGGAAACCGGAGCAGCGAGAGAAAACCACATAACCACCTGCAGAAGCCACACAGGAGTCAGCACAGGCCTGAGCCAAACTCATGAACACAGAGCTGTGAGGCAGCCGCTGTGCAAACCAGCAGAATAAACTGATAACATCAAATTCCAATTACAAACATACACCTAGAATTATATCTAGCTAAAGTCACACTGCTACAAAGCAACCAGACTGTCTGGATGTTGTTGTTTTTTTTGCTGGGTGTAACCACAGATCTGAATAATGAAACCTTTTAAATAGATTTGTTCTAGCATCTCACCTAACACAACTGTCTACAGGATGCAATAGTGTTAGAATTTGGGCGTATATTACTACAAAGGTATACACATTTTAAAATGTTATTCTGTACTTATATAAAAAGCTTTATTATTTCATTTAAACCCCCTATACATTTTCCTTTCATTTTGCAGTGCGGGTTTATGGTAGATAAAACTGTATTATCGCAATGGTCTCGAATTTCGCAGCATAAACAAAAAGGCGTTTAAACGGAAATGAAAAAAAAATAAATTAAGATGTTTTACTTACCGTAACTAAAGTAAAGATTGTATAAGGATTTACACCTTATTGCAATAAGGGGGTAAGGATATGAGAAACTGCGAACAGCTCCCAAACACAACAGCCGCACTCGACTACGCATATCCAATGGCCTCACCTTTTTTATTTTTGGTACCGTGTTTTCTAGCAGTGGCGATCTCTTGCTCGACCCTTTTTTCCAGGTACTCCTGCTTTTTGGTCAGCATCTCCTCCGTCTCCCGGAGTTTGTGGATCGCCTCCTGGGGAGACGGACCTGCCCGGTTCTTCGAGGAGCCCTTGAACAGCTTGGAAATCTTACTCATTTCTCCTGTCTTGTAGGAAAAAACAAGCGTGAAAATTTGTAAACAGGAACGCAGTCGAAGTCGGCGGGGGGGAACCGAGTCGCTTTTTCTGAAAGTCTCCTCAGTCCGGGAGCGCAGAGACTCACCTGTCGCTTCCTGAAACCCGACACTGTCCGGGGAGAGTATAGTGACTAGCTACAGCAGGGTTTGGGGGACTTTTATTTTGACTGGTGCTGCCAAGCTGGTGTCGCTTAATGTAGCTGGCATCACGCTACTGTACTTCCAGTGAGCGACTGAAAACGCATAGGAGCTTCGCATCCGATTCGGCACCGAGTCTCAAAACGTGCGTGGTCACGCAAAGCCCGAGAACAGTCGAAAATGACAAAATAGACGGTGTTATTAATTTAGCCGGGGCGCCCATCCAAAGCGATTTATGTGCGTAGCTATCTATACAGGTGGGCTTTTGCCGATGGCAATAGCGAGGTAGCTTGTTCAAGAGCCAAAAAGCAGCGCTCCTAGTGGGACTCTGTTCAATTCAATTTTCAATTCAAGGTGCTTTATTAGCATGACCGATGGTACAATCTGTGTTGCCAAACCAAATAAAAATAATGAAATTCACATGGAACAAAAAATAAAAGTAAAATAAAATCTACAGACATTTACAACAAAGACATATCATAAAATATTTACATATACTGTAGACAGATGGAGCATTATTGGGAGACAGGCTCACTGTTCCTCAGGGTGTGACAGGAGATCACATACTGGGCTGCCAGTTCAATTGAGTTCCCTCCTCCCTCTCCCAGTAGGATTGGGACCTGTTGTGATTCTGGCAGGTGTGGGAACTCTTAACCCACAACCTTCCAGTTCAGAGCCTTAACCTGTACTCCACACTGCAGGTATCCTCACCCCCCCCCCTTGATAGGAAACAATAGGGAACGCGTGTTTTGCGTGGCTTTTTGTTGAAGAGGTCTGAGTCTGAGGCAAACTCACCTCGTGTTAATGAAACGCCTGGTCAGGTGTGGGGTGGGAGGCCGTTAAAGAAATGTAGGTTGCTGCTGCAAAAGGTGGACGTTTGCAATAAGACAATAGTGGGCAAGGGTGCAGTCTTCCCTCTGCGCTAATACGTCTGATAAGCCAATGTCCCAGCACTGGGGCAGGGGTACTGTAGGTATCGATAGCCAGCAATGTATCCGAGGAGGTGCTGGCCTTTGGGTGAAACATCAAACTGAGCCACTGACTGCTTCGTCAATTATGATCCGGTCATGAAAAGTCATATCACTTTCCGAAACAGTAGGGATGTTAGAGTTGGACCCAAATGTCTCGGCTGCATTCCACTCTGGGTTTCAACGATCTGGCCTCCCTAAAGCTTTGCCTTAATTCAAAGGGCGAAGAAATGTCTCACTTTTCACCTGGGGATACTACCCTTAAAAGGTGGGGTTAAGTGGAAGCCCATTCTAAGTGCAAAGCGCTTGGAAAACAAACGTAAGGAATAATTTTAAGACGCAGGGAAAGATGACGTCAGGGTACCCCCTGGATCTGAACTTCAAAACCTTCCAGTCCACACTGCGGATTCGAGCTCCTTCTGGCAAAAGCTAAAAACCGAGCGAAATGATTTCCAGTACCATACACACCGTTGTTTAAATTAAAACACTTCGATAACTCTGAAAAGCGTTTTATTCTGACGAGCCAAGTTTTTGTTATGATCCCTAACGCCACGTGATCTTGGCGATGCTAAAGTGCAGAGGTCAAAGTTGAACCGCAGTCATGGCTGAGCTGGATATTGGACTGCACTGTCGGATCGAGACCTGCAATCAGAAAGGTAACCCGACACAAATTACATTTTCATTAAAAAATACTGTAATTTTGAATTGGCTTTTTTTTGTCGCTGTTGGGCATTAACAACTTGAGGCTCCCTTCTTTACTTGCTTAGTCGGTCACCCGCTGATCTTTAAAAACAGCTTCTTAACAATATTGGGATCGCACTAATAAGACGCAAATACGCTAATGATAAAATTCCTCTTGGAAACTATTACGATTTTGTGAAGATTCATAGTTTAACCGGGATTATTGTTTTCAAACTTTACAAACTGTCACCATAAATTGTAATTTATATCAAACGATTCATGTTAGTTTTTTCAGTGGTTCAATTAGGTACAGTATCGTGGCAATAAAATAACTTACTACTATCGGTCCCCATTCAAAGCCTCATCTCCCTGATGTCTGTGTCATGGCATTTACGATGAAACGTCTTACAAATGGCTGAGTGTAATAAGACCCAGCAATGTTAATTTGAAGAAAAAGACTTGCTAGCTGTAGGTGCATTGCCCTAAAGAAAGAACTTAATAGTGCATTAGGTAGATCACGCAAATGAACTTTTGACCATAACGAACCAAAAAGTAGTTGAGGAAGATCTGATGTTTTTGTCTGTGTGTGTTTTCAATGTGTGTATGGATTAAGAACCGTACACTTAAGTGTATGGACCTCTTTAGTGATTACATTTATAAGCTTACAGTAGCTCTTCATCTAAACTAAAATTATATGGAGTAATAGAGAGAATGAATGAAGGAGTGTGTATGGTTGTGTTTGAAGTCTAGTTTGATAGGCTGTTTTGTTGTGTTTGTGATCCTTTTTTGTGTACCAGTTGTGGGAAGGTGAGTTAGTTGTTTTTTTTTACATTTGATTGTATTGACCCAGACAATTACTTTACATTGCTTATGTTACCCTATCTCGTGTCGTTGAACATTCACATAATGCCTTATCAATAAAATCTAAATCCTTTTTATATAAATCTAAATTCTCAGATTTCCTGCCCTTTGTTTGTGATGGCTGTTCTGGAGTCTTCTGGTAAGATTTTTTATTTTAAAAAGCAAAAATAAAAAGACCAAAGCAATAGAAAGACATATACTGTATCAGCAGATAAATGTTTTTAAACAGATTTTACCAGGGAAAACTGTGCATCTCTTTTAGGATTTTCTTATACCTTTTTAATTTTAGGTTTCAGAGTGATGAATAATGTAATGTGGTGTAACTATAACGCGTAGAATGGAATATCTATGCCCAACTCACAAGTACTACTGTTTGTTTGTCCTTTAAAGCCTTGAACACAGAAGCCGAGAGTCACACTGCTGTTCTGAGGTAAAGACAGTGTTCCACACTTTAACAGTATTAGAGCAGTAGAGATGGGTTTATTGATGTTGTTTTGTGCAGTGCTGTTTGAATGAATCATTCAAATCATTTAGACACTGGGTTAACTTTGCGGGCCATATAACAGGTGTCAAATTAGAAGTAAAAAAATAAAGCTTGCTGTATGTTACAGAACAGCCTAAATACTTAATAATAGTAAAATACAGTGTAATAAGTTCATACTAATTACATTATGTGATAGTTTGCAGACAAACCAGAATACACAAAGCCAGAATCTTATCTGATTCTTATCACAAGACACACAGAGACACCAACACACACACACCAACACACACACACCAACACACACACACCAACACACACACACACAGGTAGAATGTTCATTCAGCACCATCAACCTGCAAAATTTGCTGTAATGCTTTCTTTTGAAATGTCATGCTCATTTCAGCTTTCTGTCTGTTGCTACAATTCGTCTTCTTTATCAGCTAGCACTCAGAAAGGAGCCGGTGAAGTCTGGGATCAGCTTGTCTTACCCATGCACCTTCCAGGACTGCGACAAGAAGGAGCTCCTGCCAGTAGTTTGCCCGCATTGCCAGAAACACTTTTGTCTGGCGTAAGTACACGCTTTCTGGAACTAATGCTTCTGTAAGCAGAGACTGAGCGTTTTGGAAGGCAGACCATACGCTTTGCAAAGAAATATTTCAGACAGATTTTATATCTCATTGATTTAATAACACGTTTGACAGAACTTGAAGAGGCAAAGACTCGAGAGACCTTTGGAGAAATGTAGATGAAGCTTCCTTTGAAATAATGTTGTTAGACTAATCTCAGACATTTTTTGTCCAAAAATAAAACAAGTCTCAGGTGGCTGGTCATGGGTCATGCATTTCTGTAAACTGTTAATTAAACAGAAACTATATGCATGTATTCTTAAAATGCCCCTGTCTCCATTAGATGACCTCACATTGTTAGAATATTTTGAGGTCATCCTGTTAGTTCGATATCCTGTTCTTTCAGGAAGTGCCCAAGCTGTAGAGCACTATTGAGGAACATGCTGGCCTCCATTAGAAGAAGGATATGGCCAGTTGCACCAACATAAGGTTCAAACTACATCCTGAAGAGGTACGGCACATTCCCAGTAATGTTTAGGAGCATAGTCACGTCAGCAATTGAGTCAGCTCCTTATTTTTTGACAAGTGACATTCTTCACTGGCAATATCTCCCTAGTGTCAGCTGCAGGGCTTGTCCCGAGTGTGTCAGTGCTCTGCAAGCTGAGCGTTACCTGTGAATAGAAAAATATGGCTGTCGTCTGAGCAACCCAAGGGTAAAAACTTTAGACTTTTGACGTGACAGTGGGGCAGCATGGTGATGCAAGTGGTTAGCTTTGCTGCTTTGTAGCATTGGGGCCCTGGGTTCAATTCCAGATCTCTGGTGTGATCTGTGTGGTTTGTATGTTCTCCTTGTGTCCTGTGTTCATTTGGGTTTCCTCCCATTGTCCAAAAACATACTGGTAGGTCAGTTCACTTCCAAGAGAAATTGGCCCTGATGTGAGTGAGTCTGTGCATGTCAGCATTTGTGTGTGTGTCTGCCCGGCAGTGCAGTGGCGTCCCATCCAGGGTGTACCCTGCTTTTCACCCATTGCTTGCTGGGATAGGCACCAACTCCCCCACAACCCTGAATTGGAGGAACCAGTTAGAAATTGGATGGATGTGACAGTTGTCACTGGAAAGAGAGGTGGAAGAAGGAAGTAATTGAATCAAATACAACTGTGACTGCTTTAAATAGAGCAAATTGTGTTTACTCAAGACATAGATCTGTTTAGTATAAGCATGTTAGTACTTAAAAGGAGCCTATGAACCTCTTTTTCCTGTTGCTAATCAAAACCTACTCTGCCATTAATGATTTAGCTAAGGAGCTTGTCCGTAGGGAAAAAGTCTTTCTTGGTAAAAAAAAAAAAGAATTTTTACTATTCAAGGTTATTTAAGACCAAAGTGATCCAAATTATATTGCACTTCCAGAATTATTTACAACACAAAGATTAATTTTTACTTTTACAATCTTATCACATGACCAGTCAGCTGACCCTTGTTTTACATAATGTAAGCTAAGGAGGGGCTGCATACCTTAATTAAGATAAGTAATGTACCTACTTAAATGTCAAAAGCATGCACACCCACAGAGGAGTGTACAAGTTTGTTTAGTTTCTGGCTTGGCTGTTGATTATGTTGCTGTCTCCCAGCATGAGCTTCACTGGTGTGTTTCATTCATTTGTTACGCTACAGAGTAATCCACTCTTAAATAATGCCTGCAGCTGCCTTTTAAGCCCAACCATCTATTAAATCTCTTTCTCTAACCTGGATGCCACAAAATAAATGGGAGCCTATCTCCCTATTGTAAAATGTAGTCACTAAGCAGGAGAGGCAATTCTAAACTGAGGGATTCTTTACTCCACGTTCCCTAAGAGCTACAGAATAGCAAGTTCTCAGCAAGATTCAAATATGTAGCTCTAATCAGAACTTTTCAGATGATCTCGAACGAGGACGTTTCTTCTGGCACAAGCTTCGAGTTCCATCTCCCCCTGTCTCCCTCTCTCTATTGTGGTCTGACTTTTTCTTTATTTTTTCTTTCTCTGTCTTGATTTGATCTTGTGTGGTGTCTTTCTGGACTGTTGATTGACACTTAATCTTTAAACCCAAAACTTAAAGTAACTAAGGTAAGCCAAGGCCATTGCTTTGATCACAGAATCTGGACCCCCTACATCTCTGAAACATTACCTTGGCTTTGAAGCTGAAAACTGTTTACACAACCAGGTGTTACACACTTTATCTAGTCTCTTAGAGACACTTCCTAGTCACCTATAGCTGTAACAATAATATATAAAAAAGATGAGTTTTAGTTTAGTAAAAAGTGGATTTATTCAGCTGCATCACTGTACAAACTTGAAGATTCTTCCAGACAATAGGCTGTGTACATTACAAACAAGAGGAGGTCATTCATATCATTCTTGCTCATTTGATAACTATTAGGTAGTTCATCAAGGGTCCTATCCTGCTGTTTCTTGAAAGAAGCCAGTCTAGAAACAACCCCTTGTGTAAGGAGATACCTAATGGTCTTGAGTCTTAAATGCATTTTAAGTCCCATTTGTATTAATTTGTATTAATTTTTCCCGAATTGATCTCGAAGACGTCCAAAGGGTTGACTTCAGTATAAGGTCAGAAATGATCGGTATTGTTTGTAAAAAAAAAAAATACTCTTTTAGCTGCGATATGGTCAAGCTGAAGTGTAAAAGTGACCTTGACCAAAAGGATTGTCCATCGTTTTGTTTTCTTGAATGACCACAGCCTATCTCAGGTTAACTTTTGCTGGGTCCCTGCTCAAAGGGAATTATGAAACAAGTTAAAATTCAGCAGACAAAACAGCGAGGAAGCAAAATCGGCTTTTCTGCATGACGTAGCCTGAAACAACTGCCAACCAAACTGTTTTTGGCATTATTTGCATTTGAATCTGTGCCTAAATGTCTGTTTTTCTTACCAGCCATCGACATCAAGATGACCATGAGTGTGAGAAACTGGAGCCTCTAAAACCACGAATGGCTGCCACTCAGCAACTTGTCAAGGAAATAGTAGGTCGGTGAAATAAATCCTGCATTGCCTATGATACTTGTTTTTCTACTGTCCCTCTACACCCTTGTTTCCTTGTTTTTAACCATCACATAATATAAAGTGATACGAAACAACACACCATGTTTTGCCAATGAAAGATTCAGAAAAAAACTGTCTTAATTCTAATCATTTTTGTTAGAGTAAAGCAATTGCCTGTGCTCTTTAAAGCACTAAACCTGTGAGAGCAAATAGCAGGTTTCTGAAAAATGTAATACAGCTGTGAACAACTCAATTGAATCAGGTTTCACTTATTCAGGTAGTCTAATAAACCAAACTCTATAGAAAATAGTAGAGCAGCGACATAAGGTTGGTCACCCCCATGTTCGAACTTATTTAAGTCACCCAGAATTGTTCCTACTCCTCAATAGAGTGAACCAGTATGCAGTGAACTTCAAGATGTTATTGTTTATTCCATCGAAGGGAAGCACAGTGCTACAGTGGTTATTATTGCTGCTTTGCGGCACTGGGGCCCTGGGTTCAGTTCTTGGGGTAATTTGTATGTTCTTTCTGCGTTTCTCTCTGGAAACATTGGCGCTGGTATGAGTACGTGTGTGTCTGTGCTTGTGTCTGTGTGTGCTCTGCAAAAGACTGGCGTCCCTTCCAGGTGTATCCGCTGCCTTGAGCCCTTTGCATGACAGGATAGGCTCTAGCTCTCCCACAACCCTGTGCTGGATGAGAAAGCAGATGAATGGAGTTCCATCCATCCACCTCCAGACCAGAAAGCTGCTTATTCCTGATGAGACTCGTAGCAACCTGGCACCAGTCCCAAAAGCAGAGGATAACACCCTAGATGGGACACATAAGAGCAGAAGACAGGATACAGATGGAAAGAGGGGATTCAGTTATTTTGGGTAGTTTGGTGGCTAGAATGTATTTGATCCACGGATCTCAGGGGGCTCTTTCTTGTAAGAAGCCAGGGTGTCAGCTTCAATAGTATTGCTGGGTAATTTGTTCCAGACCCCCCACAACCTTATGTGTGTTAAAAGTGCCTCTAGTTCTCAAGTTTATAAACACCTCTGTGTAATTGCTGCATATGCCCTCTGGTTAGTGTCGTACTATCAATTCTGACAAAGTCTTATTAGGTTGTCCTTGTTTCCATCAACATTCATTTTGATTTGGCAAGTATCTGTCCCATCTATAATTTTATCGCTGGGTAAGTCACTGCTTCTGTGTTTGGTAAACCCTCCATTATTATATCATTTAACGAGTACAGTAAGTAAAAATCTAATTTTTTACTGTAAATCTATAACAGAAACAAGCGTTAAACAAATTCCTGTGGAATACTGCTCTTTACATTGATCAGAGATTGTGTTCTCTAAGATTACATGTTTTTGTTTGGTATTTTATCACATTTTGATATTATATGCAATATTAAATTGTTGCAGTTACTCAGATTCTCATTACTGAATAAGGATTTTTTTCCATAATGAATTCAGTGGACAGGACTGTCCATAGGAGGGCGGTGTGACCACTGTATTTCTTACAGCTAGAATATCAGAACAGTGAAGTACTGTCTTAGTAGTGCTGTCTAATAAAAGCTGTCATACATTAATTTTGTCTTCACAAACTTTTGTGATATTAACTGTCAGAACTATTACTTGTTTGTTTTCAGGAAGACGTGCAAGCAGCTGCATTTTTCCCCTTATAGATGTACCCATGGCTTTTTAAAGTCATCACATAAACAATTTAGTGAGGAAAACGCCGCGGGCAAAAGTGATGTATGTTTGTTGGTTAGTAATATACTGTATATTGTACACACTAAAGCACCCAGCAAGCTGTAGATAATTGTCTTTAAATGAAATGAAGTTAATTTAATTTTCTAGAGTCTAAGAAAGGGGCTCCAGCCAGCAAAGGAAGAAGAGGAGCGAAAAACAGTGCAACAGCAGCAAAAGTTGCCTTGATGAAGCTAAAGCTACACGCAGCTGGGGACAAGTCATTACCGCAGGTATTGAGTCTGTGCCAGAGTAATTCTTACGTTGCTGGGAAACCACGTGAATCGGGTCGTTAAATGTGCGATTCTTATGCAGCTGATGCTCAATGTGTGGACCTCCAGTTTGTTCCACTACAGAATTATTTGAAAACCTTGATTATTTAGTTGATAGTTAGCGGATTAATATAGCAATGGAAGAGCCGATAGCGTTAAAGTACAGTGGTGGAGTGGATTGGGAGGACCACAGGTTGATTCTCCCAGATGTAGCTTCTATATTTCAACATTAATTTAATAGTAGGAGATGTCATATGAGCTTTGTGTGAGTTTTAAATGGGATACACTATGAAAACAGGCTGATTGTTTTACTCCTAGAAGGCCTAATGTATTGTGTTTTTTTTCCCCCAATGTCAATAATCAATTGAAAAACAAACTTAAGGATTTTCATAGACATGTATAGGGAATTTTTAAGAATGGTTACAGTTCACGTCACTTCAATTATTCATAAACAGTACAGGTAACTGGAAGACACCTCAGAGTTTGGCTAGCAATATTAAGGTTGTGTAGTTCATAATAATAATTTTGCCAATTATGTAAGGGAGACAAAGAGTTGGGTGGGCCAGCAACCACAAAATGCTGCATCTTCCAAGAGCTGAGCCTGAGAACCCCATTCTATGTAATTGTCCAATAAGGCAAGCCTTTGCATACGAAAAGCATGTTGTAAAAGATTCAGAACAAGCTGCTGTTTTGTTCCCGTTGTACAGAGTGAAAGGACATATTTCCAGGTGTACCTGCCTCAGGGAGTCAAGGACAGGAGTCTGCCCATGTTCTTCTCTTCTGCGTGGACTGTGGGGAAGGTGGTGGACGTTGCAGCATCACTGGCTAATCTGAAGAACAACAACAACATTCTGACGGCCAAGGTAACAAACACAAGACGAGCTCAGCGTCATGTGAGTTTGTTAGTTTTAGACAGGGGTCCGTAAATCGCCGATACATATTGCTGTTCACCACATTTGTTACACGCATCCTCCCAGATGAAATCACTGAAGTGGTTACTTAAGCTTGAGGGTTTGAAATGAGGTTAGTGAGCGCTTGGTGACTCCGAGAGAATCACAGGAACGGTCATTTGAGGAAAGGAAGACAGAGAGTTCAAAAAACTTAATCTGATTGCACCTTTTTATCCTTTAAGAAAAAGGGGTTTGCAATTGCAAATTCTTCACATACTTGGTGCCAATGTTGTAGTTTTGCAGAATCTTTTTTCTGGTTTGTGGGAACGTGGTAGCTGTCTTTCTTTTGTGTGTGTGATATCTTTCTCTGGATGTCTGGACTGTAATGTACTTTGTACGTTTATCTCTCTTTATCATTGTCTGCTGTAATAAACCTATACAGTCTTATTATTTATGGAACTAAGGTAAAACAAAATTGCATGTAGCATTTAAGATGTAATATTTGCACGTGGGGAAAGCTATTTTGACATGATCAAAATGATTCACTCATTTTCTTATATTTAAGGTTAAATGTTCTTTTATATTTTTATCTCAATTAACACTCTCAATTATTACAAAACATTGCAGTTTTATGACACTGTTTGGTTAAAGCCTGCATTTGATGTGTGGTATTTTCACAAAATGTCATTACAGTTTTCTCTGCATTCCATTTTTTCCTATGGTTATGCTTATGGATTTTTTTACATGAACTTTGTTTTCAATTTTTTTTTTCCAGTTGTGCATTACAATGTGAAAGTATTTTTAATTTAGCTAAAACTTCACAAAATTCTAGTAACAATAAACACTGCAGGACTTTCATGTTAACTTGTCTCTGTCTCTTCAGAAGCTGAGGCTGTGCCACCCACTTTCTGGAGAAGCACTAAAAATGGACCAGACCCTGGACTCCTGGCTTTCACACCCAGACTGTCCACTTTATAATGGAGGAGACATAATCCTAGAATACCTTAACAATGACTGTGCGGGTCTGGACAACGTGACATCTTACCTCTCACAGCCTCAATAAACATCTGCGCCTGAGAAACTCCCTTTGCCATTTGGGTTTTGACCCCAAGACATGCTAAATAATAAACATTTGATTTATTAAAGCTGTCTCTTTGCCTTTTTTATTAACACATTTGATTGATGGAATGTGCTTAAAAATGTTATAGACTTTTGGATCTGGTTGACAACCGTACCAGCTGCAGTTAAAAAGTCAATATTGAGTCTATGATAATTTTTTTGTGTTTATAGATCTCTTTAAAAAAAGATGTTATGATTAATATTTTTGGGAATTATATTCACTAAAGATGGAAACGGTAGTGTTCAAATTTTGAAAGTTGAAAGGCTGGCATTCTGCATGCATAGCATGTTCTCAAAAATGGCAGTTACCACAATTATGCTAATAATGGACCTTGCTTCATTATTCTGAAAGGCAAGGTGAATCAGCACGTTACCTCAGATGCAAAATATTCAAGCAGAAGCATCTTTTCCCCACTTTTATCATTCAATTTGTTGGCAAATGTGTTTTTGGGCGCTGAATGGAAATAGACACCAAAGTCAATTAAAAATGATAATTGGGTTTGGAGTGCTTATGAAGAATTTCAGAATGATTTTATTTTGTTGTGTTAGAACTGTGACTGATCAGAAAATAGGGCCGGATGAATAACACATAGTGCACAGAGGCCATATGCTTCGCTCAATTCATCGCACTAAATAGAGAACATGTCAGAATCTTAAATAGTACATTTAGTATTGTGTCCATGCACTTTAAAAACATTTAATCCAAAAGAAAACCGATTAGACAACATTATCTTACATTTTCAATCAATTAAGGCTTGGTAAGAATGGGAAATTGAGGTATTAAGGAACCAGTAATAGGTTTATTCCATGCTGAAAAGAGAAGAAAGAAAACACATTTTGGCTGTGGAGCCTTCTTCAGGTTTTAGAGCTGATTTAGGTATTAGACTGGTTTACCAAAATCAGTGAATCAACTGAAAATCTTATCCAGTTTTCAGTTTTCAATATATAACATCTTGGGAGTGGGTGTCGATGACTGTTTTTGAGGGACCTTTGGAAAGTTAATCAGAGAAGTAAAACTGGATTGCTCAGTTTCAGTGTGTCATAAGCAAATTCATTCCAAGAATAGGTGTAAAACATCTCAGAACAGCGCTGGCTTTAGTGAAATTGTTATACATTTAAAAGAAAACAAGTGGTGAAAACAAAACTGAAAGTAAAGCGTTACTGGTCATGCAGGGCATTTTCTGTGTGCAGCACATTTACTTACTGTGTTGTAGAAAGGAAACCACTTTCTTTCCCTTTTTTGGCCCCTTTTTTTAAAATAACTGTCCCTTTCTTACAAATTTCTGTATGTCTTGTTCAGTTATCAAAAACATGCTAAACACTGCCGACCCAGGTGGGACTTGAACCCACAATCCCCAGCTCCGGAGGCTGATGCCTTATCCATTAGGCCACTGGGCCTCTGTTGTTAGTTAATGTCGACACCAAAAGCTTTGTGTGGTATCTTTGAACCACTTTGGCTTGTGTATCATTATCATGTCGTTTTTTTCTGTACACACTCAAGAGAAACCACGTTGATAAAATCAGAGCAGCCTGAAGAGTGAGATAACAATGGTGCTGTTTTTTTTTCTTATTAATGGTTGTAGATGATTAGTCATTTTACTACGGCTATGTTCTCGCATAATTTAATGTAATAGCAATAGTATATTGTTAGAACTGGTTGAAATACAATTGAACTTTCAATACCATATAGATCAGATGAAGAGCTGCAGACTACTAGATTGAACCAAGCATAAAAGGCATGGAGAATACAATTAACAAAGAAAAATACCCTTATTGGATTTACATGTAAAATGGAATATTATATTCCTCTATAATTTGATGTGAAACATGGAAGGCATTATGATTGAATTCTGTACATTTTAAATTCAAAACCATACACCAGTTTTACACAACTGAATTAGATCATTTTCAGTTCAGTACCCCTGACTTTTTTGCCTGCCTAGTGTTGCTCCTCTTTCTTACTCCTGTTTGTCTTACCGAATTACCGAATCAAAATGACACCTTATTGTTTGTTGTTCACTATTCTATCTATCCACCCATTTTCTAATTCACTTATCCTTTTCAGGTTCACCAGGGGCAGCCAGAGCCCATCCAGCAGCAATAGGCACAAGGCGGGATACAGCCTGAATGGGACACCAGTCACACACAGGGCACAGACAGACACAGACATGCACACACTCACACCAGGGCCACTTTTCCCAAAAGCCAATGAACCTGCCAACATGTTTTTGGACTGTGGGAGGAAACCCACAACGACACAGGGAGAATATACAAACTCCACACAGATAGCTCCCCAGGTCTGGAAGTGAACCAGGGTCCCAGTGCTGCGAGGCAGCGATACTAAACATTTTGGCTGTGGAGCCTTCTTCGGCCGTGAGAAAGAGAGGAAAGTCAGCAGCTGATAAAGCAGGGGAGGACAAAAGCTGGGAGTGGAGAGGAGGTGGGAGCTGGAGGAAGGCAGAGTGGGCACTCAGGTGGTGCGAAATCGAGAGAGGTGAAAAGAGGTGTGAAGTCAAAACCTGTACATGAATAGAGAAGGTTAGACGGAAACGAGTCTGTCGTTGAGAGAAGGGGGAAGGTGTGGTCCTAGTTTCAGGATAATCTTGGTTCCGGAAGTCTTTCTGCAATAGGAGTTGAGAAACCCCTCTTTGAGAACGCAGACAGAGAGATCAGTATGATCATGGGCGTTAGAGGAGAAATGAGAAACTATGGACTTGGAGACTCCTACAACGCCATTCAGTCTGTTCTCCAGTCCCCTTGTTTTATTGCACTCTGCTTGTCCAGGTGGTTTTAAATCTGAGTTTGAATAGTTTGAATAGGTTACAAAGCCTGATGTTGCACAGAAATCAATAGTGGGCCTTATGCTATTTAGCATTTACATGTTTCCCCTTGGGTGACTTGTGTGTAAGACCCCACCTACTGTATATAATGATACTCAGAAAGCACATCCTGCCCCATTGTCTTATGATGTCCACACTAAACCTCATACTAAGGCAACTATTTGAATACTCTTTGAGTGCATTTCTGACGCAAGAGCTTGTATGGCACAATCTTTTGCATTTTAAATGTAATAAGAGATCATCATATATCTAACACCAGTGCTATAACCTTATCAACTGACAGAACTGTGCTTCCATTTTGATCCAAAATATAGATTGTGGGGAACTCCTTAAAACAGACTGACTGAGTTTTCTCATGTGCAGAATATTTTGAAGACTTTGGTTTGCTGGGAGCTATTGCCAGACTGCAAAAAATACTGTTTTTCTCCTGTGGTGATGACTGATTTATGCAGTTGTGTTTTGAAGGACTGTTAATTACTGTATAAAGTCATACTTGCAGGAGTCCACTCTTAACGGTGGAGTAAAACAATGTGTAATAAGTTGTAAGGCTTTCAGAATTTGGCAGCCAAAACCATGACTACCGTACGTGATCATATCACGTCTGTCTTGGAATCCTTGTACTGGTTTCCTGTTAGGTTTTGAGTTTCATTTAAAATATGTATGCTTCTGTTCAAGGCTCTGTATGGCTTGGCTACCTTCATTCAAATTTTATATGTAAGGGATCAATAGATGGTTATCCTTGACATACAGAAGACCATGCTTCTGTATGTGTTGAGATCAACAAGAGTGGTGTATAGCCAATGCATCATTGGAACAGAACATTTTTTCACATCAAACTCCTTTAAAATCCACAAAATGGGACAATGCACAAATCCACCATCTTTATTTCCTTTAATTTTTAGATAATATTGAGTAAAAGGTATACAGTATACCATTAGCAGCTGTCCATTCTCTTAATCTAACAAAGCATTCTGTCATTAGAAGTACTAAATCTAACAAAGTAAAGTGGATTCTTAATTTAATCTTATCAGACGATTTATTCTCAAAAGTATCTTCTTTATATTGTGTATATCCAATTTATTCTTAATCATAATTCTTTTTCAAAGCTTGATATAATGCTTCAACAGAACCTAGTGTTTTAAAAGCAAGAATTCTGTATATACTGTAGGACACTCAAACCACTTAGACAAAAGATCTCTCTGGAACTTCATAAACTGAATTACCTCTGAATATTACATTTAATTACAACAATATCTAGTTTCACACTGTAATGTCTTTCTATGTCTTTGAGAACTGTTTGTTCTCCACACCGAATTTGCTGGCTCCATTCTGCCCTATTTTGGGGTGATACAGGGATTCAATGCCGTCAGACAAAGGAAAGGGGATTCTTGAGACAAACAGAGGCCTCCGCTCATCATAGAAGCAAATCGCAATCAGCCGAATGACGCAGATCACAGCAGTCAGAATCATGAGGGCTCCTAAAAAAACACACACGCACATGGAAACGTCAGAAAGGCACAGTACAGTGTAAATCCATGAACAGACTACAACCGTAAGGGTGCTTAAAGCATATTCAGTAAGCCTCAGAACCAGTCTTGTGTTCCGACTCTGGATTTAGAGTGATTTAAACAAAATAGTCCCACATACAGTAGCAAAGGTCCAAACTAAAAAACCCAGACAAAAGTCAATTGTTGTAACAAGCAAGAGGAAAAGCCGTTACCTCAGCGAATTCATTATACACTATGACCCCTCTTAACAACAATCTCAACAAGTGAAATGCATCAATATAGACTTTTCTTCAGCTCATAGTGTTAGTAAGCTGCTAGTCTGAATTCTGCACTTTACTTCTGTATGTGTGAAAAGTAAGAAGCATATATTGACAGCTACTTTATCCTTGGGTATCAAAGTGTGTTTTCTATTGTTAACTAATTCATTTCTTTTTTTCCTTTCAAGAATTGTTAGAAAGGTTGTAAAGAAAAGCACTAGCTTGATTGATAGGAATTGTTGCCTTGGACTTTGATTGCAGTACATGAACAGATGATTGTTTAGGCTAAAGCCTGTTACAGGTTCACTTGGAGCAAAGACAACTTTAAGAAATTCCTAGAGATCTGTAGTTAACTATTCGCTTTCCTGAAGGTCTGTCACAAAATATTTACAAACCAGACTGTTTTAATGGTGTTTTTACTGCTCTTGAAATGTACATTTTATCATAGACAAAAATCCAGAACATCATTCTTTTTAGAATATCACTTCATTGATACTCAACACATTCTGGTATTATTTCAATGAAGATTTCTAACATATTGTAACATCCTGCAACACTATTCTAAAAATATGAAAGGGGAAACGTATGAGTTCATTCTCTTAATATGCTAGAATGATAATGGTATGCTTTAAAATAATTTAAAAAAATGTATTTAGAAAATATTAAGGACACATTGAAAGATCCTTGGTGCACCTACAATATGTACAGTATAGATTGTTGACCCTAACATGTTTCTACCCTGTGGTGGGCAAATGAGAAATGTTACATTATAAATGTACAGCAATCATGTTAAGCTTGGTTCACATCTGTTCTGCAGATCCTGTGTTTCAGTCATAGACTGCTCTCTGTTATTGTATGATCAAAGTTTATATTTTACAAAATGGAAAAGAACAAACTGTCATTTTCCCAATAATAATATTTGATCAAATTTTTAGCAGTTTGCTGCAGTACTGGCTAAAATGTATAAAAACAATCTTGACCCTTTTTCAGCTTGCATTATATTAAAATAAGTTCACTTACCACAGTAAATAGTGCTTCTGGGCAAGGTGTCATAGTGATAGTTTCGAGTGAACATTCCTCCCAGAGCCAGAATCACAACAGGGTAAACGGTGAAAGTGTAGCGCACATATTTCTCGAAGATAAAGTTTTCTAGAACAAACCTGATGAGAAACAGAAGAGGAAAAAGTAGTTTTTTTATGGTGGAATCATTTATTCACCCAGGCATTTTCTTTTGTCAAGCAGACGAAGCACAAACCTGGCAATCTGCCATCAGTTTTCATAAGCACCGAAAAAATACTGGAATTCCACAGTATAACATCTGTCCTTCAGAATTTAGTTCATGTTTATGTTCATGTTCCACAAATGAGACAGTCTACAGTAATCTGACTCTCTAAGGTATCACCCAACCTTATTATGATATCCTATAGGTGGGCAAAACTGTTCAAAATTGTAGAAAAAGTGTTAAAGTACTTTGTACTTTGTACTTTTTATTTACTGCTATTCGGTGCTGCACAGTTCTTATTACTGAAGTGCTCTGCTGTATGGAACATTTCCAAAACAAAGTTATGTATAGAAACAGCACAAAAACACATTAGCTAATACATTGATATGTAAATGGGCAATTTCTTGATATGGCAACCTCCATGAATCAAGAGAGAATCCAGTTTAAGGAACTTTTTAATGGCAAAGTGATTGTACACATTATTCTTGCAAGGTCGCATATTACATCCACTCATACAACCAAGGGGTTCTTAAGACACTTGTGAGAGCTTGAGGTGATTGGGAATTTTTTGCTTATGCACCTACAGTGCTACCTGAAGGCCTGTCTGCAAATACAGACAAAGTTCAGAACAAACACTTAAAGGGAGGCTGGCAGCCTCGAATATGTTTTAAGCTACATTTAGGAATCAGCACCACTTCAATTTATTAAGCACTTTTCATCGTAGCTGAGGATTCTGAAAGCACGTCAGCCACACCAAGCAATTGTTTGCTGAAAAACAGCCACACCAGGGGGAGATACAACTGCGGTTGTGTGTCATAACACTGCGCAACAGCTGGATCAGTTTACCAGCTTGACAGCAGGGCTGGATCGTAAAACTGTCTTCAGCCAGAAATTAATATGGGGAATACAGGCTATAGGATGTGTGGAATTTTAAACTTTGTTTTAATTCCAGTTTAGCTATATTTTTACAACCAGCCCTGCTCACGAGTGCAGGCCTAATGGGAGCATTCAGTTTCCAAAGGGGTGACATCAGCAGCTTCAACAGTTTCTGTGTCCAATGAGCCTTGTTACATGATCTTGTAACAGTTGCAAGTGTGGACAAGCTGTTTGTTCCACATAAAATGATAACCCTTCCTGTAACCTAGGGACATCTATAACCGCACTGGGAAAATAGTTTGGATAGGCTGGATTAGAACAGTGTCTCTTAGGCCAGGAATATCCCTGTGTCAAAGTCCTGTGCTTAAGAGAGAGACATATCTGGTGCTCTGAGCCACTGATGTAAAATATTTACTTGAATACTGATTTACAGCTGATGAAACAAGATTGATTAGTTTATAAGTTTGTGAAAATTAACTGCCTTTTTTCTCCCTCAAAAAATGCCATGGTTTGGGTGGTATTTGCAGGGTTTTGGTATTATTTGGTAGGCAAACAAAAGACCTAATTGAACAAGCCCAAGATTTGCAGGTGCACAACTAACGCAATTGGTCACTGGAGTGCAGCAATTCAAGGCTGCCCTGCTTCCTCCAACCTTGGTTAATGGTATATGTTAAAACTTACCCCAGGCTGCGGAGCCCACACTATCTACAAGCAGAAATACCTGTGGAATTAGCCAGCTGGGAGTCAAGTGACTCATTTTTAAGAAGAGTCGTTCACAATGAAGGTTGAAAACCAATGGAAAAGAGAGGTGTTAACATTTGCCTACATTAATGTGATTCAAACACTTACCACAGAAGTATTTCGAAAAGCAACAATGTGAGCACGATTGTGCTGACAGCTGGATCCTCAATGCCAGCTTTGTACTTTAACACAATCCCAAAGTTTATCAGAGCTTCAACGGAAGTCCAGGATGCATACAGTGCTACTCCATTTTGTATCTGAAGGGAACAGCACCAAAATTGTTTTCAAAAGCTAATGGATTTGAACAAAGATAATGTAATTGTGCAAAAACCTTTGTTAATAAATGCATTTGAATATCTTTGCCCAGGTCCATGTTGGATTGTCTGTGAAGCAGTTGGCGTCAAAACAAGGAAGAATCCGAGCTTTAAACTTGCTGGTACAGCCTGGAGAGCTGGCACAACCCTCCAGACCTCAGCCCTTGCCCTGTCTCAGCAGTGAATGCCGGGCCCCCGTCTGGTCAAGATCGACACATGTTCACAGAGCATGAACATGAACCAGCTGACAGCCCCCATGCACATCACCACTGGAACCCTACACCCCACCCAACTTCCCCGGACCCTAGTCCTAAAAAAAGGCACTTCTCTGCACATTCAAGGATCCATAATAACCAGAAAATGCTCCAAACGGTCTAAAATGTTCCTCGCCTGCCACTACACAAGCACAAGGACATATTTACTCCACCAAAGACACATCTGTCCTCAAGAAAGCCGATCTAGAAAAATCCTCCCCAGCAAGACTTCAGAGCAGACTCCAGCTGGGCTCGAATGGGAATCACTGGCCTTAACAAACAGGCCTCTCATCACACGCCCTACCCAGCAGCCTCTCCACTTTCGCCTTCCAGGAAAAGAGTGATCCACCGCTTTAGGATTAGTCATGATCCAAGTCTTGCCAACCTCTATAGGTGGGAATCAATGCAGCCCTCATTGTTCCCGTGGGACAGCACATCCTAGAGACCTGCCCAATCAACAGACACATTGGAGGACTACACACCCTCAACACAGCCAGACCAGAAGCTATCACTGGACTCAGGGACCTTGCATTCCCTAAATAAATCAACTGAACCCTCAAGATACTGCAAAATATAATTTTGCTACAGCTGCATCTGAGTTTTTTTCTTTCTGTAGTTGACATCCTGACATTCCTTGTTTCACAGTGGGAAGATTTAAACCCACGTCTCTTACACTCTACACTGTTTTCAGTACAGAGAGCATGCTGTCACACTGTAGATTTCTTTGAACCCTTTGAAAACATTATCCTTTCTATTCAGTGGAGTGCATGGAGTTTTGTGGTTTCTCTTTCAATTTCTAAGTATTAGACTATTTTATTAAGTAATGTAAGACAATAACTGTTATTTTTAAACATAATCCTTACACAGACAAAACACTGGATACTTGCCTCAAAGTGCTTTACAGGTACAGTAATTGGGACTCCCCTCCACCACAAGTGACGTGTAGCGCCACCTGGAAAGATGCGATGGTAGCAAAAGTGCACCAGTATGCTCACCACACACCAGCTACATTATCAGTGGGGAGGAGAACAGCCAATTCACAGATTGGGATTATTAGGAGGTCATGATTTGTCAAAGCCAGGGGAAAGTTGGCCAGGGTACCAGGGTTACACTCTTACTAGCAATGTACTACCCCTAATGCCACTACTACCACTATTAGAACTTTCTAGAAGGGCACTTTATGTTCATTATGTGGAGTAGGTTCCATATCGCCAGCAGCCATATCACTCTGCAACTCACAACTGACAACCCACTGGAGCTAAGCAGGTGTGAGCCTGGTCAGTACCTGGATGAGAGACCTCCTGGGAAAAACTAAGGTTGTTGCTGGAAGAGGTGTTAGTGGAGCCAGTAAGGGGCACTCACCCTGTGGTCCATGTGGGTCCTAGTTCCCCAGTATAGTGACGGGGACACTGTCACGGACGTCCAAAGGGACTAACCGTGGGGAGCAGGAGAGCGGAAAAAGACCCATATGCGTAGCGGCGAGACGGGAAAAATGCCCGGGCTCATTAGTGCAAAGAGTTCAGGAATGCCGTATAGAAACCTATGCCCTCGGGGAGCGGACGTGGGGCGCCCTGGTGCTAGGCGGGTCTCAGGACATCTGAACGTCAATGCTGAGCGAGGACAGAGTGCAAGACCCGGAAATATATAGCCCAAGGGAAAGAGAGGGACAGGAAGGACAGCAGACCGGAAACTAGGGACAGGACAGAGAAGGAGCGCCCTCTGGCTGCAGAGGGCGTGACAGACACTATACTGTAAACAGGCGCCGTCCTTCGCATGAGATGTAAAACCGAGGTGCTGACTCTCTTTTCTCGAAAAGAGTAGGGGTGTATCCCCGGCTTCCCATTGGCCCTTACCAATCATGGCCTCCTTATAATCCCCCTCTATGAATTGGCTTCATCCACTGATAGCTGATGTGTGGTGAGCGTTCTGGCGCACTATGGCTGCCGTTGCACCATCCAGGTGGATGCTGCACATTGGTGGTGGTGGAGGGGAGTCCCCATTACCTGTAAAGCACTTTGAGTGGGGTGTCCAGAAAAGCACTATTTAAGTGTAAGCAATTATTATTTTTATCCTAAATGAGGAAAGTCTCACAATCCAGCTTATTTGACTTGTGAGTGAAAGGAGGTTGCAATTATTGTGACTCACAGGAAAAGTACAATTACACACAGCCAGAAATTGCATTCTAAAGAGAAGTATCTATTGATTTTGTTTTGTTGGCATAATTCCTTTACAAACTTAAGTTTTTTTCGTGTTTTTCGGGTATCCTTTCATCTCTTCTGTGAGGTTTTCACTCTGTATTGTTCACTCACGGTTTCTGGAGTGAGTGAAATAAAAGGAGGTTTTACTTACCAGATAGCGAATGTACCACAGATCCTGTGGACTATTAATTTTGAGCCAGCTACCATGTCGGTAAAGATTTCGGTATGAAATTGTCAGCATTACATAGCAGGAATAGGGAATAAGGATTTTTAAGCTCAAAGCCCTGAAAATGTATCTGTAAGGACAAAGAAGAAAAGGCAGTAGGGAATTAACAAAATTGTTTTGTGTTTGTTATGTTACCAGAGGTTTCTGTATAATTCTTCTTTGCTGTATGTATTTTTTAAATCAAAACTAAATAAGTTTCCTTGTTAAGCTTCCTTCCTTGTATTCCTTGTATTGTATTTGTTTTTCTTCAGCCATATTCCCTAATCTCGTTCTTAGTTACATCTTTTTGGAATGCTGTGCTTAAGAATTGTTATTTGAGGTGCAACTTGAATACTTTTGCATTTTGTTAGCTAATGCTAAACATTAAAAATCTCATCTAAACCTCCATTAGCTCTGTGGTTGTAGATGGGTTAAAAACAAAGAGACGAAGAGACACTATATATCATATGCTGCTGAAGAGCAACCTATGAAGTACCCATTCTAACTATCCGATAATGTAAAAAAAAACTTGATTGTGTTAGGATTGAATTGCCTGTGTTTTGTTTTGGATAGAGGACAAACAGGGTTTTTTAGAACAGTCTTACATGCAACCTACTAGCCAACTAATCTTGCACCATTTCTGAAGTTTCAAACCTTTGAACAGCAACCTCCAGACCATGTACAGTATGGTATATGCTATTATTTTTCAAAAATATTCATGTACTTACTGCCAGTCCCAAAGAAACAGCCACCCAATGCTCAGCAGGTTATTGAAAATCCAAAACACATAAAATGAGGGAGGGTGTATTTCAGGATTGCAGCAGACAGTGCCAAATACATTCCTGTAAAAAAAAATAGTGTTCTTACATACAGCCCATTTAATCCTACCTCTCTTGTACAAAAGAAAAACATTGTGATATAATACCTGACTAAAATGTCAGGAGAAATTCTTAATTTGACAGAAATCCTGGTTTTGTGTGAACTTCACATTTTTATGTCCTCTTCTTTACCAAAGCAGACTTTGGAAATGCATCTGAGCGAGGAGTTTGGACAAAAAATGTTATTCTAGATTTCCAATAAATATTTAAAAACTTGTTATAGTATGCACAGACTGACTCAGAACCATCAAAAGAGTAAAGCATTTGCATCACACATGATAAACTCTTAACATGATATATAGTTAAAGGCTGCAATGTTATGAATACCTTAGCACTGACACTTTTCTACCTTATTGTATGTTGCCATGCATGTCTGTGCTTATAGAGCAAGAGAAAGAGAAATCTAATTTCTCTCATTTTGGAATACTGTACTTGAACTTTGAACTTTGACCTTGAACTTTGAACTTTATTGCCATATGTAACCGGTACTGGTACAATGGAATTCTTACTTACAGAAAGTCTCTCGTTTGTAAAACAAGTGTAAAAAACAAAACAAAGTGCAAACAGTGCATCAAGACAATGTACAAACAAACAATAGACAATGTGCAAGTAAACATGCAGACAGTTTGAATGTAAACAATACAGACGTGTAAACAATGACTGGAGACGTACAATAAATAAATTACAATGAGGTAGATGGTGATGGTATAGGTGTGGTCCGAGGGGGATGGCTAAATGTGTTCGCCAGTCTCACTGCTTGTGGATAGAAGCTATTGAAGAATCTAGTGGTAAGTGTCCGTATGCTCTTATATCTCTTGCCTGAGGGCAGTGGGGTGAAGAGCTCATGCCCGGGGTGGTGACTGTCCTCTGAAGGTGCATGGTTTACAGTGTTGTCCTTTCATAAAATTGTACTCGTACTGTTCTAAAGAATTTACAGCAGTTATGTCTAGTATTTATAGTACGGCATTAAAAGTGCATAGGATTAGCTTGCCTGTCACCTCCAATTGACAACTGCATATGAAGTGGCCAGCTTCCATACTCTTTCTGATTGTCTATGAAAATCACTCAACGACACTCAGATCAGTTCCAACAGAACCAAAACAAGCTGATTCAAAAAACATATTCACACAGAACCTGCTGCTAGCCTCTGCTACTTATCTCACCTGCATTTTTAAACTGAGATTTAATAAGGCATTACATATTAATAGCTTTGATGTCATATTGAGACTCTCCATTGTGTATGCCATTTTAGCATGTACTAAATGAGTGAGGTTGATGAGGTGAAGAATCTAAGGAGGACATACTCCCCAAATGCTTGCGTCTCTTGCCCAACGAGACTTGGGTGAGACTTGGCACCTCTGCGCCTGCTGTATGAATATGACTTTTAGAACTAAAATAATCTTAACATACAGTAGGTTGGAGAAAAGACTAATTAGTGTTAGGCCTAGTGTAATGTGCAGTTTTAAATAAGGAAATCAAAGAATGCTATTGGAAGTTTGTTATTGGAAGTAGTTGTCAATGGAGATTTCACGTTTCCCCTCAAAGACATCACCAGGGGTGCCAGCAGATGTTTGAAACTGCAATTGAAGACATGGCTGAAGCTTGCTTGCTTACTAAGTCTGTTAGATCACCTACTGCAGACCTGTATTCACCTATAGTACTCTTTTCAAACAATCAGATAAGAAAAGAGAGTTGAGAGAACCTTTATGGAATTATGATCACAACATAATGTCTTAAAGGCATGCTTTAAAGTATGTTTTGGAACTGTAGAGGATAAGTTCAATACATAAGTCTCTGAGTTTAGGAAAGCAAACTACTGAGGGGCATGACCGATTAAGAAAAATGCAAATGAAATGTTTAAAGAACAGAGCAGATGAAATCCCGAGACATAACAAATATAAAATTAGTCGGCAGTATACAATAAAATATAAATAGAAATCATTTTATAATGATTAAAAAACAACAGTATCTATTTAAAGGAACATAATAAATAGAAAACACATATAAAAGCCTAAGTGATAGTATTGCTTGATAGTACATGAGGCTTTTTAATCTAGATAGATA